ACATAAATATATATGTAGTATATTAGCAACAGAATACTTAGTATACAAGATTTTCAGTGGAAATATCTGTTGTGTAATGAAACTGAGAATTTTATGTGAAATTTAAAAGAAAATGCTGACAATTTTAATAAAAGATTTATCATTTTTGGAAAGGCAACTTTAAATATTACAATTTCAAAAAGATTTCAGTATTAATAATGTATTTACTAAGCATAACTTTGAACTATTTCATATCATACTTAGAAATATAGTTTTTTTTCAACTCAAAACTAGACTGCTTTCCTTAAAAGTACTCGCATTCAGGGCCGGGGACTTGGCTCAGCGGTTCTGCTGCCTGGCTCGCAAGCGCAAGGTCCCAAGTTCCATCCCGGGTACCAAAAAAAAAAAAAAAAGTACTCGCATTCAGATTGTCACCTCCCTGAAATACCAGTCCTTGAAGAATGGATCTGAGAAGATGAAGATATTTTAAAGGGCAAAGAAGAAGAGAGTAAGAAGGAAGAACTGATTAATTTGATTTTTATTTATAATCTGTTAGACTTTTGCAAAATTACAAACCTCCTTGTTAACAGTGGATCCAACTATAAGAACACCTGGAATGTGGATTTTTACAGGTCAAACAGAGATGACATGGAAGAACAGAAAAATACGTGAAGATTAGTGTTATTTCTACTGTAGTAAGGCATCAAGCCTGAGAAGGCCTTGGTTACTAGTCAGTCAGTTCTGACAAATGGCATCCAGGCCATACAACATGTTCTTCTTCCAGCTGATGGCTTTAAAGGTGATGCTGGACTTTCACTGTGGGGTTTTATTTAGTCATCAGATTCTATGAAACAATGTATACCTACTGCTCAACCACTTATTTGAACACTTTTGAGATGCTGATGATAAACGTTAAGCCACCATAATTTCCACACCTATATAGAAGCCTCCTGGGTTTTATACTTTCTAAACTATAACTGAAGTAGAACTAAAATATATTATCTGTGTCCGTAAGTACTAACTGAATATCCATTTCACATTTATTACTGTGCTAGACAATGTGGAGTGACCAAAAAGCTTTAAAAAGCATGGCTGTTGGCCAAAAAATAGGTAAGTTGAGAAGTTGAGATAAGGCTTAAATAGAAGAATAAAATAGTGCTAAGATATGCCATTGATTAGATATCTATTTCTTTAGTGTGTAGCACACATTTACTAAAGCAATGTCAGGAAAGTCTCCTAGATTTTAACTTTAGCATGCTTACCCCATAAGATGCTGCGTTATGAAGAGGAATCAAACCACCCTTGTCCTGGGCATTAACATCTGCTCCATGCTCTAGAAGGTATTCAGCTACTTCCAGGTTATTGTAGCCTGCTATTAAAGTAAAAAAGGCAAACATGTCAGCTTAAGAGAAAAAAAATTTACATATACAGACCAGAAAAATGTTACAAGTTTAATTTTGTTTGCTTCAATAACTAATAATATTATGACACAATCAAGAGCTTTCATAGTAAGAAACTATACTAAATTATGTCACTCAAAACCATTTTCCTAAGTAGTTCCCTTCATGCTCAGCATTTTATTTATCTTCTGGTAAATCATATGAGGTACCCAAAAAAGGGAAAGTAAGGCTTGGATGCACTGGTGATGCTTACCTGCCAGGTGCAGAGGAGTTGAATTTCTGCCTTGGGTGTCTCTGCAGTTGATATTCTCCGGGGTGCAAAGCTTCTGCACTCTCGCCAGGCAGCCCTTCTTGGCGGCATCCAATAAGGCAGCGTCTCCTCTCAGTAGGTCCTGAATGTCTGTGTCCCCTTCTTTGACCAAATCTAGAGGTGTATTTCCATCTCTGTTTTTTTTGGTTGGATCTGCTCCATGCTATAAAGAAGTATAACAAATGAGGTTTGTGTTTTCTGTAGTATCTTTATGTAGGCAGACAGTATGCACATATTTACTCATTTAATTTTCTTCACCTTTAGCCACCGAGGAAAGCTATGTATTCTATATGCATTTTCATAAAGAGAAGCCACATCCTGCTTTATTTTACAAATTCCTTACTTAGCAATATATTGGGTCAGTTTTCTAACTACTAAATTAAAGCTGCAGGATCAGTGCTAATGATTAAGTGGGGAAAGTATTGAATATCTTTTACTTATCACTAAAATATACCTCTTTTCAGACTCCAAGTTGTCGGTGGAAACCTCTTTTCCTTTTACAAATGGCCTGGATATTAATTCTGGCCAGATTTCAATTACATAAAGATACTTAGTAGGTATTATGAAAAAAGATTAGAGAACTATAAAACACATAGGTGGAAAAGGGATTAATTCTAAATGCCATCAGTTAAAAAAAGTTTGGCCACTTTTCATTTTTTTATTTTTATTTTTATTTTTATCTTTTGGTACCGGGGATCAAACTTGGGTCCTTGTTCTTGTGCAGCAATTGGCAAAACCACTGAGCTAAATCCCCAGCCACTTTTTAGACTTTTTCATTTTTTAAAGTTTTTCATGAAATTAGGTACAAATGTATTAAAATTATCTTGATTTAAAAACTTTAATAATCTATATCTATGAAAGAAATGCCAATTTTTTTGGGTATTACAAGCTTGATATAGACTGCTCTTGGCCCACTGTGGACATAAAGAATAAGCTAATCTAGGGCCAGGGATTTAGCTCAGTGGCACCACACCTGCCTTGCAAGTGCAAGGTCCTGAGTTCAATTCCTGGTGCTCCCCACCAAAAGAATAATCCAGTCTAGACAATGGAGTCACAGTGACCTGGAATTTATTTATTTTTACTAATCACTGATAATAAAAATGATTATCCAATATAGCATTTTTCTTAAGACTCAAAAAAGTGGTGGGAGAAGACTTATTTATACCTCATAGGTACATTTTTTTCTCTAGTTAAAAAGAGAAAAAATTACATATGTACATGTCTGCACATTTTTGTATCATTTAACTTTTAAAAACCACAAATTATCATTAACGCATATAATTACTAGTGTCTACTAGTTCACATATACATATTAACTTACATTTTAATAAAAATCTGATATTAAGTTCTTAAAAATATAAATGAGAGCAATAATGAATGAGTTAACAATAAAATGATGGCAAGAAATCAGCTTGAGTAAAATATGTTGCTCTTTGTACTACACCATATTTTTCTGATATTAATAGTGTAAATATTAGATACACAATACAAAGTAAACCAAATCTTTCCAAAACCTACTTTGATGAAATGACCTTAACAAAATTCATTCAGAAAGACACTTCAGGCTCTATTCAGAGCTTTGTAGAGATCATGATAATGCACAAACATTTCTCTGAATAAAACAGACAATGGAGGCAGTTGCTACAGCACTTACTGTTCCTAATAGAGAAAAATACTCTAATTCAAATAATAATAAAAAATAATTACTTATAACTACATACTTTTAAAAGGAGCTTGCAGATTTCGTATTTTCCTTTAGCTGCTGCTTCATGTAGAGGGGTAAATTTCCATAAGTCAGCCACATTAACAGAAGCCCCATGCCTCACTAAAAGCTCAGCTACCTCATAGTGTCCATAGGAACAGGCATTATGAAGGGGAACCAAGCCGCTAAACGAAAGAAAATTATTTTAAAGTTGTAAAACAAATCTTGAGTTAAAAATGATTCTTATAAAATAATACTCTTCTGTAGCACTGACTATACTGAACACTCAATAAGAATAACTTTCTTTAGTCTCTTTAGATACAGTCATTTATTTTTAAACAAGGAAAACAATTTTTAAAAGTTCCCTTCAATGTAAGGACTTTTTTTCTGTTTATGGGGATGGATATATATGTCACAGCCATTTATCCTTGAAATACATATAGAAATACACTTACAGAATAAATATAGCACTTTCAATTCAGATTTTTACCCTGGCAATCTGAAGATCTACACTACAAAGTGATTTCAGGCATAACTAGCCAACAATCTGGTTTTATCATCTCTCAGATTTTCTTCCCATTTGGGTTTTACTAATGAAAATTTTATGTTTATTTATAAACAATGGAATTTTACTTATTTGGGCAAGTTCTACCTTTTGTTTTTGCTTATTTAAAAATTCATAGTAACTCACTGGTGGTTTCTGTGTAGAGGTTTATATATTGAATGTCAACCAATGGAAACTTACAATGCAAGTGATTTTGCAAAGTATTCACTAAGGAAAATAATGATACTAATTATAAATTCTCAGATAAGAAAGTCTAGTTGCCTCAATTTATTAACAAACTATTCTGAGATGACTCTCAGTTCTAATTAGAAGGCATTTGGCATTCTAAAAGCATAAAAAAGATGTCCTATAAAAAGGGTACATCAAGCCTTGCCTGCCTGGCAAGTGCAAGGTCCTGAGTTCAATCCCCGGTACCAAAAAAAAAAGGGTACATCAAGTCAGGTATGGTGGCGCAGGCCTATGATCCTGGCAATCTGGGGAGTTGAGGCAGAAGAATCACAAGTTTGAGGCCAGCCTGGGCAACTCAGTGAGACTCTGTCTCAAAAAGGGGGGGAAGGGGATGAGATGTAGAATATAAAAATGATGATGAGAAAACAGAAGGGAGACTATTATTAGATAAGAGGAGGGGAAGGAGGAAGAGGAAGAAGAGGGAGTACAAGGGTAGCTAAGAAGGGGTATGAATATAATCAAAATACATTATACACATGGACTCCCCCAAGAAAACAAGTGAAACAAGAGGGAGTGGAATGAGGGGTATCCTGGGGGATGATTAATATGTGTTATGTCCATGTACAAATCTGCCAAAATGAAACCCATTAATCTGTATAACCAAAATACACTAACAAAAAGAGTGCAAAGGGGTTAAGAGGATACAGCTCAGTGTGAAAGCCTTGGGTCCAATCCCCAGTACCATAACTACCCTCAGAAAGGATAAGGTTAAGTTGTACTTTAGACATGGAAAAACAAGGTATCATCAAGTGCCTTTTTATTTAGAAATTGGTGCCTTTTTAGAATATGTTTTGTGATGAAATATGCTAGGTGCTAAAATAGGCAACAGAAACAAATACTGGTTGCTCTCAAATGTGCTACAGTATTTTCAAAGAGCTAGTGATACCGTTATTGAATATTCATATTTGATATATCCTTTAAAAAGCAAAATGGTTAACTGAAGCCTAAATTGTGCAGTTCAATTCTGTAGCACTGTGCTATGTAATTGCACAGAAATGTAGTGGCTTATACTGAGACGATATGAAATTAACTCAGAATACAAAAATTAATCTCAGTGAAAATTTCCTTGCATTTCTAAGTAGCTTCCATAGCTACTTTAAGCTTTGCCTGGATAAAGTCAAATAATTTATCAAATTAATATAAAGACATAGAATAGTTGAATTAGTAAAAATAAAATTGTATTTCTATTAATACTGATGATTCTGGAATGGATGGCTTCTTTTTGGAAGAGATTATACATTTTTAATAAAAAATAAAGGGATAAACAGTAAATCACAAACTATGAGAAAACATTCATATAATGCAATAAAATCCTATATGCAGGTATTAAAAGGGTGAGATGAACAACTGAAAACCAATATGGAAACACATTCAAGGTGAAAGGCAAAGAGACTATGTAGAACCGCATCACCATTTGTGTTAAAACCACCATGCTATAGCACGCACATACTGGTATACACAGCTGAAACAGCTGGAGAATTACATTTAAAAATGTTCATATTGTATCTCTAGGTAGTGGGCCAATGGAATTTTCACTATCTATACTGCACCTTTCTAATGTTTTAATGTATGATTTAAACAAAAAACATACAGACTAGTTTTTTTAAGGGGAAAAAAATCTGATTTCAAAAATACTTTCAAAACTTTTTGTGAAGTATATGAAGAGAAAGATCCTAAACAGCTAAATTTGAACACTTACCCTTTATCTTTGGCATGGACATCAGCACCATGGTGCAGAAGGTACTCCACAACAGACACACGATTATAGCCTGCCGCAAAGTGTAAGGGTGTAGAATGCCGGCCCTCTAGATCTCTGCAATTCACATTTTGAGGGCTGTAAAGTTGCTTTTTTGGTATAGAAATAGAGATAAACACAAAAAGAACATTAATATTTATTCAGAGGCTTTGCTCTACAATAGTGTAGCACCTTGAATATATTGTAATTTTCTAATGAATATTTACCTCCAAAGAACAGGTAATACAAATGATGCTTAAAAATCAGCATGACGCATGGTTTTACAATGACTACCAAAACTCTTAACTATGTGTGGTGTAATTTAATCTTTGTCAACATTTCCTGGCCCAAATCTTACTCACATAGAAAAACTCACAATTTCCAAGCCAATCAAATATTTGCATCTTTGGAAGTTTCTGTTCTCTGGGATTGCTTATCATAGTGTATCTGCTTGTATTAGGATGCCATTAGCTATTTGCTCAAACGAGACTAACTCCAGCTGACTACAGAACTACAGAGTTCTTTTCCCTCTAATGTGGACTAAGCAAGCAAAAGGGCTCGGAAAAGATTACTTTTCTGCTTGGGCCACTCATGTGGGCCCTATAGCAAAAAGCTTTGTAGTCAATGCTTTACTTGATTTGGGGGGGGGGGGATGTGTAACCTCATAAATCAAAATTATTTTAATCACACTCTAGCTTTGGCCCTTACTTCCATCTCCTTCTGAGATTTCCTCCAAATTTCTTGTCTTCTTTTGTCCCTTTAAATGTTACCATTTCCACAGAATATAGATTATGAGCTCAGTTATGTTTGTTTACAAAGCAGTAAGAAGCAAAGAAAGGAATGAGAGGCTGCATCACTGGAGGTGATAGGCAAATTATAATAACAATATTTGAACAATAATGTAAAAGAGCATCACATTCTTTCAGTGAGGGAATTATATCTATTTGTGAAGTTGATCAGTACCTTCATTTTACAGATAAACCAAGACTCAGAGAGTTTAAGTGATTTATTCTGTTCAAATAGATGGTAAGGGGTAGCACAAAGATTCAAACTGTTTTACTGATTTTTAATCTCTTGATCTTTTAGCAAAACATCATATATCATTGTTCACTTTCTTAATTATTTAACTTCAAGGAAGTGATAAGAAGAAAACAAATGCGGGCCAGGGATTTAGCTCAGTGGCGCTGCCGCCTGTCTCCCAAGCTCAAGGGTCTGAGTTCAATCTCCAGCACCAAAAAAAAGAAAAAGAAGAAAACTAATGAGAAGAAAAAAAGTCAAAGTAGAGAAAACAGTGACATCTTACAGGCTACCAAGATGACGGGCAGGAATTTCTAGGTTATTTGCAAACCTTGCTCCCACCTTGCTACTGTAATGTGCTATTATATAAAAACGAAGAACCCAAAAGATCTTTTTCTACTTATATACTGAGTAAGAGTGCTATGGTTTCAAAGTCTGTAGCCATTAGGAGGCTAAGTCACTGGGATTAAGGACCTTATAAGAGGCACACACATCGTTTTGCACTTTTTGGCCTCCTGCCATATGGGGATATAGCATCTTTTTCCCTTTAAGGAATGCAGCAACAAGGTGCCATCTTGGAAGCAGAATGACAGGTCCCCACCACACACTGAACCTGCCAGAGCCTAGACCCTTGGACTTCTAGGTCTCTGGAACTAAAAGAAGTTAAGTTTCTATTGTTTATAAATTACTCAGTCTATGGTATTTTGTTATAGCAGCACAAATGCACTAAGACAAGGAATATTCACACTGGTAAGATAAAAACGAAGAGCTTTAAGATAGAGTAATTTTCACATGACAGGAGGAAGTCTGGCCAGCATAAAGTCATTAAATCTATATGAAAAAGCACCAGCCTCTAAAATCCAAAGAGCCATTATTACCTGGCTAGGTGAAGTATCATTTCTGTAAGTCTGTGGCTACATTAACAGACAAATAAAGAGAATAGATAAATACAATTATGTGAATATAAAGAATATATAAACTAAAAAGAAAGACTACAAAAATTGGTAGTAAAATTCTTCTACGAAGTCTTATAGCATTGCAGCTGCTCCCTGATGTTGCTTTTTCCCTTGGTTCTTATATTCTAAATGATCATTACTATTTTTACAGAGAATACTGGAAAATTGGGATGTGGCAGGGAATAAAATAACCAATTTTGGGAGGTTAAAAAAGCAAAAGCCCATCCTACTTACTAAATATTTGCATTTTAATATTTGTAAGTTATCTGTTTCATTTCTTGTTGAATGCCAAGACAATTTTATATCTTCCTATTTTTCACAATTTCAAATTCATTATTCTGCAAACAGCCTTTTCTTCTAATACTTCTACTATTTTCTAAAGCTCTTGTGAGAGAAATTTATCAGGTCTGATTCTCAATTTGTGCTGCTTTGACATTCCATTCCATTAAATTTAAAAAATAATTTTATTTACCAAAAATACATTTGACTTTCACTGTGAATGTACTGTTTAGCAAACTTGAAAGCTATAGTATGTATTTGCCTAAAAACTATATATTTCAAAATGCTGATTATAATGAGGATATGTAGCAATTCTAGTGCTGAGATGATCATGTCATAATAAAGAAAATGAATCCTAATTGCTTGAAGATTTTCTATTATTAGGATACATTTCAAATGATAAAAAAAAATATGGTTTTAGATCTAAGAGAACTTGAAAAAATTTCCCCAGTGGCTATTACAACTAAAATTTACTTTTTAAAAAACAACGTAGAGGCTGGGGATTTAGCTCAGTGGTTTCGCCAGCTGCTACGCAAGTGCAAGGACCCGAGTTTGATCCCTGGTATCAAAAAAAAAAAAAAAAATAACGTAGACACTATTGTAAGATGGAAGAGATCTGGAAAGTGCCCACATACTGAAACTAAAATAAAATTTCTAGGCAACAGAGATTACTGCTTATTATCATTTCAACTAGTGTATGTCATCAGAATGCTAACATTATTTTGCTAAAAATAAGGAAAAGTTTGCTTCATGACAGGTGACAAACTAGTTTGTAAAAAGTAATATTACTGTAAATACTAATTTTGCAATTAGCTTTTCTTTAAAAATAAAGAAGACCAAAGATCGACTCCCAAATAAAAATAAAAACTATTATCCTTTCTGCTAACTTTATCCTTAATGATTAGTGACAGCAGTTGTAGTTTTAAAAAATTCAATATTAGAATTTTAATTCAAAAAAATAAATCTACAACCACTGTTTCTATACTGCAAATAAAGAGTGATAATGTTTTCTCAGCAAGTACAGTCACATAGAAAAGAAAAACCATCATCTGCATATAAATAATTTCTAATGGTTTAGGGATCATAAGAATGCTTTCCTAAAATAAATGCGAGAATTTCTGGGAGAAGATCGAGAAACATCATTTCAAATGTGATCCTAATATCTGGATTTGAACTAGTTCACATATTTTATGACTGTGACCTAAAATAATGCTTTAAATGATATAAATGAAAATAAAAACACTTCCTTGTTACCTGAAGACAAAGGACTAAAAAGCACACACATATATAAGCACATGTACAGGTGTGTGTTTATATAGCTAAATATTTTTTCTAATGGTTTAACTGTTATAAGTCATATATATACTGGGAAATTCTTAATGGTAAAGATTTCTCCTATCTATAGATATACTCTATCCATTTTAAAATTTTGGTTTTGATTTTATTATTTGGTTTTGAGTAGTTTTATTTAGAAGCTTAAAAATGAACTGGGCTGCAAAGTTTAACAGTGCCAACACAAACATCAAGGGAAGTGACTTACCTTCACAGTTTCCAAATCACCAGCTTTCGATGCCTCTAAGAGTCGATAGTCAACATCAGAAGTACGGATAGGTGTGCTCTCTGCATAAAAGAAAGGAAATGTTACACTTGATCTTTGAGAATTACAGAGCAGTCAAGTAGGGAAAATTATTTAGTGAGTAGAAAGAGATTAATGAGTTGCAAATTTCTGATGTAATGTAAATGCTTTGCCCAATCTTTTTCAGGTAAGAACTAAGCACTTTCTTACCTCAATCTATATCTATCTCATCCAAAGCCAAACTGAAATAAATTTTAATACACACAAGTCCTTCTCTATCCTTACTATACTATCCCTCAGATTTCTTGGTTATAAATTTGACAGAGAGTACTGAGGAAACATGACTAGGAAATCAAAAACATTTGATACACTGGTGTCACAAAGTGTTGTAGCCAAATTTTGCCATACATTTGTTACGTAAACCTAGGGAGGCCACCTGATTTTTACTACTCAATATTCAATTTTTCTTCTTAATATTCAATTTTAGCTTCAGTGTCTCCAATGTAAAATGGAAACACTACTCCTGAAATCAGAATGATCTTAGAATGTATAATTAGTGAACAAAAAAGGCCTACTATAGACATTTGTTTAACTCACATTTATTGAATGGCTTCAGGGAAATGCAATTTAAAATGTCTGTATAATTGGAAGGCATGATACTAATGCTAAATGGAATATAATTAAATTGGGCTATTAGGTCTAGAGGCTAACAAATGAGGTATTTTGATTAATCCAATATAAGCAGACCAGAAATTCACTTCACATGGGCCTAAATAAAATAAACTGTTAAAGAAAATTTATAATAATAATATATCAGCCAAAAGACATTCATAGTCACTATGTGGCTTTTTTGGGGGGAAGGCTGGGGCATTATTTTCTTTGGGGATGGAGTGTTATCTCTAGTCATTGTTATTTTCAAATTTTGAGACAGGGTCTCACTAAGTTGCCTGGGCTGGCTCTGAACTTTTGATCCTCTTGCCTCAGTCTTCTTCCTAGCTGCTGGGATTACAGGTGTGCACCACCATGATTGGCAAGTGTGTCTTTTATAATGAGCAAACACGTAACATAAAAGGCCTGGGCTCCAGGAGACAGGAATTTAGACTGGTCTCTACTACGTGTAACTTTGGATCAATCATGATGTAATAGTTTCATTTTTGTACTTAAAAACTGAGAGGTGGTTTCTGTTGAAAAGGGGACAAATTAGTTTGTAAAAAATAAAGAGCAGACTTAAGACTGTATTATCTTATGATCAGAGATAACTGTTTTGAGGCTACTATCCAAGTTGGAAGATCAGGTGATGCTATGAAAAGGTTTTAGATTTTAGAAGCAATATGTTAGTTCTAAAGTGCTTTGTTCAGGAGAGTGGCTTTTACAGAATAAGTTTTGAGAATTTTTCAATGGAAGATGAACTATTTGATCACATTAATACTGAGCAGATGAAAGATTTAAGAGAGTGTCTCATATAATAGATTTCTAAAGTACTTCTTTGAAAGAAAATTATCTTACATTTGTTAGTTTATGGAATTATTGAGAAAAGGACCAGATCCTCATTTTTCTATTCCATTATATCTGGAGAACATTCAGAAAGTATTTGATGAGTCAATTTTGATGCCATTTTATTTGGGATCAATGTGTATGTTAAACCTTATTCTCTTTTTGGCTGCGTTTATTGTTCTTTCCTGTCTCATCTGTCTTCCTAATTGTGCATGTACATACTGCACTTACAAGAATGCCTCTGTATGTCTACTATGTCTCTAAAACAGTGATTCTGATAGTTGATAAAACTCACTGAACATCCTTTGGATATCTACAGGTAGTATTTTTAGTTTATCATTCGAACAAACAAAAAGGGGTGGTTGTTTATGTATGTAGGGTTACAACTTAGGATATTTTTAGATTTTAACATTGAGAAATTAATATGCTGAGTTTTTAAATTCTAAGAACAATTTGAAATTGACACACTTATCTTCAAGAAGACTGACTAAATAAAAGGTATAATTTTCCAATTAATAACATGTTTTATGCATATGTAAGATGCTTCTAAGAACTATGAGGAAGGAAGAATAGAAAGTAAAGATATTGACTATCATGTTCCCATCAGCTTGAACCACTGTCTGTCACATTGGGTGGCATGTACTACTGGTAGTACAAAAGGATCTAACCACTTTTATCAGTCTTATTTATTTATTTTTTTTGGTACCGGGGAATTGAACTCGGGTCCTTGCGCTTGTGCAGCAGGCGGCAAAACCACTGAGCTAAATCCTCGGCCCTATCGGTCTTGTTTTTATTTTTTATTTTTATTTTTGGTACTGGGGATCAAACTCGGGTCCTTCTGCTTGCAAGGCAGGCGGCAGAACCACTGAGCTAAATCCCTGGCCCTAGTCTTGTTTTTAATAGAATACAAAGTTGCCCAATGGGACAGCCATGCACGTACCATCTGTGGTTCAAGCCCCCCAGCAGAGAGAACATACAAATTACGGACCTGTTGTGAATATGTTAATTACTGTAGAAACTGGGGAGTTCTGTATTATTATAATTCTTTAAATAGGTTCAGAAAAATTCAACAATTAAGTAGTAAAAATCAGGTGGCTTCCCTAGGTTTACGTAACAAATGTATGGCAAAACTTGGCTACAACACTTTGTGACACCAGTGTATCAAATGTTTTTGATTTCCTAGTCATGTTTCCTCAGTACCCTCTGTCAAATTTCTAACGTGTTTTTTAAAAATAATATGAACAAAGTATTAACTGGAAGAAGGTAGTATATATAGTCCAGGAAGTTTGTACAAAGTTACATATAATTAAAAGAAATATAAAAGATAAAGTTAAAAAGGGAACATAGGGAAAAGAAGAGTAGCTGATATGCAAAGTACTACAGTAGTAAAATATTTAGTACAGTAGTTTCTGCAGAATATGAAATCAAAGACATTACCTATAGTCACAGATTGAAGACTGGCTTCTAATTTTTTCTCTCTGATCCTAGTCTGGCTTACTAGAATTTTTTAAAAGTTTCTAAGGCTGGGATGCAGTTCATTATTTTCAAATAATCCCTTACAGACTGGTTCTTTCGGGTTAGTGGTGACTGGTAAATGATTTTCAATTTGGTGTATTTTGCTGGTTTGTGTGTGTACATATGTGGCACTGGGGATGGATCTCAGGGCCTTCTGCATGGTGGAGGGTTACTCTGTAACTGAACCAAAACTCAGCCCCGATTTTACCAAACTTAAGTGAGGTCACATGTAGCTAGTGGCTACCATACTAGAGAGAGCAAGTCTAGAGAAAGCAGCCAAATCTTCTGCAATGATATTTTAAAATGCTGATTTGTAAAAAAAAAAAAAAAAAAAAAACCCCAAAAAATCAAAAACTGCTTATTTTTGTTTCTTACTCAGATACTAATTTGACATAAATACTACCAGCAGTTTATAATGAAAACTTTATTAACAGAAACTTCTGAAAGCTACTGACTTGGTATGTTAAAAAATGTATGTTTTTAAGGCTGATATCAAATCTGGTATAGCAATTATATACATATATATATACACACACACACACATATATATATATATATATATATATACATATATATATACATATATATATATATATTTTTTTTTGTAGCAGGGATTGAACTCAGGACCTTGTGGTTGTGAGGCAGGTGGCGGTACCACTGAGCTAAATCCCCGGCCCTGCAATTATACTTAAAAGAAATTTAAAAATACTATCTAGAACTGAACTCTAACACCTTATTATATATACTACGTGATTGATGCATTCTTTTAGGAGTCAATACAGATATATCCTAAAATTAGATTAATAAATGTAGGTAAAATTGTGAAGATCAGCTGGTGTGCAATTCTCAATCTATCAATACACAAGTATCTCGTAGAAATCATTTTAAAAATTATATCCTCTTCCAAACATGAAACAATTCTTATTAAAAAAAATGTCTTTGTAACAGGTTTTCACCATCTATTTTTATTATTTGTAGTATCTCTCTTAATGAAACATTAAGAATTTCTGCCATGTTCTAAATTAGGCATTTAATTATTTTAATGTTAACTTTGCAAATCAATTTTAAAGCAGAATTATCAAAATAATTGAAAAAGATTTCAATTATGATTCACTAACTTCAACCAGAAGTCACATATTTTAACTGCATTTATCTATAAGACATTTAAAAATCATTATATGAAAAAATATGGATCTAATCTGCTTGATTTATTCAATTCATTCTTCCTCATTTTGTTAATTATCTCTAAAAATTATGTAAAGTATTATTAGCAATTTTGATGTGATTGCTGTTTGCCTGATTTATGGTTACAACTTTAAGAAATTAACTTGGCCGGGGATTTAGCTCAGTGGTTCCGCCGCCTGCCTCGCAAGCCCAAGGGCTAGAGTTCCATCCCCGGTACAAAAAACAAACTTAGTTAAAATCCTATTCTAAATAATTCTGAAAGTATAAGAGAAAAACTTAGAATATTTTAACAAAAAATCAATAGAAAGTTGTTAGAATTTATTAAGATGGCAGAAATATTTCTTAGTCAAATAGTAATATCTTCTTTAAGCAAATATTCCACTGCTCTGTACAAACAGGAAGTAACAATCATGCATTTAGTAGTTCAAACTTGAAATCCCACAATGGAAAATTTCATTCTTTCAGAAAGCTTCCTCATTTTCATAGTGAAGATGCTCTATAGGTTTTCCTTCACTGTGTGAAGATTATCATCTATAAGATTCAAGTAAAATTACTGCCATCAAAGAATAAACTAGCACAAGAAAAATAAGTCTTAGTCAATAGTTTTCCCAAAGTTGTACAATTATTTTCATGAAGCTATTTAGCTCTGATTCAGCCCTAACAACATATACTTATGATCTCTGTGTGCCTCAGGAGGTCCTGTGTTTTTACCATGTAGCAGTGGTTCTCATCCAGGTTGGACTTCTTGGGGCCCTTTACAATTTGTAGGGTCAATTTCTGTCTTCTAGTGTAGTCATGCCCAAGCTATTACACAATAGTTACAAGTTATTTTATTGTAACTTACTATTATTTTCTTCCTTATATTATTGTGGGGTGTTTTATATAGATTTTTGGGAAGGTATTTGTATGATTAGGTCGTATCACCTATGACCTTCACTTCTGCATAATAAAAATATTTATTAAAAAGAGGGCCCTGTGTTTGATGGAGTTGAGGATGATTGGACTATAGGTAGGAAAAAGTAGCTAGGACTTCTGATTACTAATCTGTAGCCTTTTCTACTTTATTTTTCCAGTTTATATCATTCTATAGTAGATAAAATCCACAGATGAAATTAAAAAGAAGGGAAAGAAGAGCAAATTCCATTAAATTTCTTTTGTGCCTAGTTTTCATTTTTCAGTAGGTTGATTGTGTTACTTCTCAAATTTTGGGACTTAGGAAGCCAATGCCTATTTTCATATCAGTTTTATGTTTGATCTCCTTCAAAAAACTAATTTAAATACCTCATGCTGTAGTAGGCATGCACTAAGACATTCAGAAAGATTTTTATAATTATATTTAAACCAAAAAAAATACGATTAATTTCATAATGGTATAATTAAGAATGACAAAAATATATCAGAATATTATATACATAAGAACAATTAAAGGTCATTATCCCAGTCTTGATTTATAAAATTTTCTCCATCTGATTGATTCTAGATCTACCATAATTCCAGTTTTTATGAATTTTCCATCACCTCTGATGATGTCAGGTTTTTAGTTTCAAACTACAAATATTAAAAAATGTTTGCTTTTTTCTTTTGAAACCTACCTCATCCTACTACAAAAGGGACATGGGGAAGGTCATAGCCTAAAGTGAATGCAAAAAAAGGCATAAAAAAAATTGAGGCCAAGAAAATAATTCAAGGAGTGACTTAAAACAAGTGTAAAGTTTGAGTATGTCAGCAGAAATAGGACAGAAAGTGGAAAACACAGTTTATCTTTTAACTCACCACTCAGAATCTGCTGTACTGCTTCATTTCCCATTTGTGCTGCCGTAAAGCCTTGCAAGGAAATGATAGAAGGATCAGAGCCATAACTCAGCAGGAGGCGGCAGGTCTGCAAATGACCCGCGAGGGCAGCTCGATGCAAAGCGGTCTGACCAAGGGTGTCCAGTGCATTCATCTGAAAAATCATTGGGTGGCACAAAAAAATCAAGCATCATTTTATACCCCAGCAAACAAAATTCCTATAAGAAAAATCAGCTGTGAAAGCTTTCTGAAAAGTGCTGTGGGCATTGACTATTAGTAACCTTTGCTCACTAGTTCTAAAAACATCTTCTTACTAACCCTTCTCTGACTACCTAACTCAAAATTACAACATAGCCTTCCTTTCCTTGAATGATCACTTTCCTGTCCACTTTCAATTTCCTTCAACTCTTGTGGACAGCAAGAATGTAAGGTCTGAGAGAGTAGGGACTCTTGTCTGGTCATTGCTTGTCATGGTGAAGATGGTCACCAAAAACTTTCAAATGAATGGGTTTAACTAGTTGTGCCCAGCATAGAAAGACAACAGAACATGTAAGCAAACACTGGCAAAACAGTTAATTATATGTTTTCCCTAGTTTTAGGAAATACCAGATTATACAGATTTGAATGTCCCTCATCTGAAATACTTGGGACCATTAGTGTTTTGGATTTCAAATTCTTTCATAGTTTGGGATATGTGCATACACATAGGTGGTATCTTGAGGATGGGACCAAAATCTAAACAGAAAATTAATTTGTTTCATACACACATTACATATATAGCTTGAAAGTAATTTTATACCCTATGTTTAGTGCACCTACGTTTTGACTTGACCGGTCATATGAGATCAGGTATGGAATTTTTCACTTGAGTCACATTGACACTAAAAGGGTTTCAGATTCTGAAGCACTTTAGATTTCATATTTTCAGATTAGGTATGCTCACCCTATAATAGAATACCCTGACTGAATTACAAGGATATTTATCCAAAAAATGATTTGAGGGTTTGGATGTTCCATTTTTAAAACCTTGAAGCATTTACATAGGAAAAAGAACAAATTGGCTAGTTATAAGACAAAGAAAATGTTAAACTTTTGAGTCATACCTAACTGATACTAATCTATCTTCCAGGATGTCTTCATAAATATCCTCTGTTTCAGTCACCAAAGTTCATGCTTATTGAACATGCTGCTTCTTTCAGAGAATCCCTTCTTTCTGTCTTTGGCAATTATGAGATCTAGGTCTTTCCTCTCCTAAGAAGTCTTCCTTGATTACTTGAAGCTTTAACCATTACTCCCTTTCTGAACACCTATCAGTTTAGAATTCTCTGTCTTTTAAATTACAATACTGGAGTGGCTTTACCACATTAAACTAAGCTTATTGAGAATACTGACATTTATTTATGTTTTCTAAGTTCACTAGAAAGCTCCTGATAAGAGAACATAGTAAATTCTCAAATATACACTGGTTATTCAAAATATTTGTGTATACCCCTTGAACAGAAGGCTAGAAAAACAAAGGTTTCAAAATAATTGGTCTCTGTATTCCCAGTCTTTCATCATTACCAGTAAAACTGTCTCTCTTGTTCAGATAAGGTTCATTTAAATTCTTAATTGTCTTTCACAAAACATCATGAAATACCAAGGTATTTCACTCTATCACATTTTCCAGTAGAAAAATGACTATACAAAACAACACAAAAGCACAGCCATTAGATTAAAAAAGAAAACACACAGGCTGCCAAACTAGATTTTTTTCTATAAATATTTCTTTGTTACTTCTTTATCATGATAAAACCCCCTGAAAATTGCAAATATTCTAAGCTGAAACTTTTTTTCTGGAAATTTGTTAAGAAACATACTAAGTTATTCAATTAGATTAATGAAAACCCCCAATCCAGTTTAAGTTTGGAAATATGCTTTGAGGGTTACTCCTTTAAAATACAAAGTTAAAATCTCAAATTAACAGCTATTTAATACTTTCAAATAGAGTTGAATCCTTTAGCATGCCATTTAAAACATTCCCAAGTTTACTCCTCTGCCATTTTCCTTTTCTTCATTTTTAATCAAAATCTGATAGGCCTGCTATGTTCCATTTTATTCAATTATACTGGATTCCCATTTTTATGAAGATGTTAACTTCTACAATCACTGCTTAAAGTAAAATTAGCTGTTGGTCTAGATGACCCTTGGAAATACCTTAGCAAATTCTATGGATTTTACAGATGTAATGTTTCTCGGTAAATCCAACACCAGCCTGTTTTACCTCCAGTGTCTGAGCAGATCAGCTGAATACCAAATTGCATACAGTATCTCTAAACATTAGAAACATACTATGTCTTGGAAGAGGATCTGTCTAAAAAAATATATGGAGGAACTGAATGTAATATAGAGAACAGATTCACATCTTCTGAATGTATAGGGCATACCTTTATGATTCCAAATGCCAAAACAGTTCTGCGAATTACAAGGAACTGGCAGAGAGGAATCCTTTCATATTCTATTCAATATGAATAGCCTAATCTCAAACACTAACTTTAAGGCTGTGTCTTCTCTCTCTCTGTCCTAAATTTAAAGGTATTAATCATGAACCATTTCATAACTCTGGTACTTAGGCATTTATTGTTAACTAATATCATAGTAACTTTAACTATCAACATGTGTATGTTTTAATCTAAAACGTGATTTCAAATAACATAAGAATTGAAAAGTCTCTCTGTATTCCTTTAGCTAGAGAGACTCAGTGATTTTTTGGTTTTTTTTACTAAAACCAGGACACTTTGAAAGTGAACAATAAAAAAATTAATAAATTTAATAATTCTATGAAAGAGGAACAGAAGATAGGGACGTAAAACAGTCTCTTCCTGGTAGACAGAGACTAGAAGAGGGAGCAGGCATATTAAAATCTTTTTAGCTTGAAGATAAGAAACATTATCTTCGTATAATCTCTCTTTACACAAACCCTAAAAAGCTAATTTTGTTAAATACTGTTGCTATAGTTGGGATGCTGAATATCCTCCAAAGGCCTATGTGCTTGGTCCCTAGGTGTGGTTCCCAGGGTGGCACTAGTGGGAAGTAGTTGGGACCTTCAAGAGGTGGGGCCAATTGGGGGTATGTCTTTGAAAGGGATTGTACTAAAAAAATATACCTACCAACTTACTTCTAGAATAGCCATAATTAATATTAATAAAACTATTAATAATTACAGTAGACAACTCATTAGTAACAGGATGCAAAATGCTAGGATAGACTAACAGTAATAATTAAAAAATTGTTGCATGAAGGTAAATACAATAATTTTAAAAGTAAAAAAGCCAGCAGTCTTGGTCATGTTACATGCCAATATTTGTTAAGAGGGGTCAAAATTAACTATAATATGATCTGATAAAAAATATATATATGCCTTATAGTTTTTTTCCAATCACCAATGAGTAAAGAACATTTGTAGTCTCTCAAATTAGCAATAATAATTTTCTCAACCTCTACACTAAAGAAATACAAAATTTTAGTAATTATTTTTATTGGCATTATCTAAATGGTATTCTGAAACTGAATTACTTGAGGGAGATGAACAGCTAATATGTCACAAATTCTGGAAGTGAACATATGAGCTGCAACTCAGTCCCTCTACACTATGGAAGACTCATTCTTTCTCAGGAAACCCTGGTATCTGCTATGACTTATCTCAGCTGACACATGGACCTAAATAGGGTGCCACAGTCAAAATGACTTAAATATTAGAAAACCTTAACTTCTTTATTCTTAAAAAAAAAAGCAGAGATACTTTGACTATCGTTTACATAAATTATTTTCTTATAAACTATATTGAAATGTTGACTATCAAAATATACCAATTCTCGTATTAATGTATGTGAGGTTGAAATCTACTTCAAATGGCTGAAGCTATATTTTATTGCATTTACAGAAGATTGATAGTAAAGGACAAGGAAACACAGCTAATTATTTTTATTAGAATCAAGATTTAAATCAGCTTTTTAGGAGAATCTATGAATTTAAATATAAACTACCAGTCCTTTCTGAAGAAATATATTTCTTCAGGAAAATCAGAGAGAAAAGTAGTAGTCTGAAGAGCAGCTGGCTGTTCAGTGCTGAGTCTGGCACTTCTCTCTTGGTGTGTGCCTTACCTTTGCTCCGTGCTTATGCAGAACTTCCATGACATCATTGTGAGCTCTTTCAGCTGCAACATGCAGGGGTGTCATGAAACTATGGAGAGGAGAAAGGAAAAATAATTTCCTCTCTAGCTTTTATTGTATTTCTTCAAGATTTGAACAACTGCTGTTTCTGTAATCACACTTACTCTTTATTTTTTTCATTGACATTCGCTCCTTTTCTAAGTAATAATTCTGTTACTTGTTTTCGTTTGGGATGTAAGGAGGCCACAGCACAGTGCTATAAAGTAAACAAAACTAAGTTAATAAAATAAGCTTCTATTTAAAAGTCGATTTCCAAATTAAACAGCATCTGCTGACAATCTGGGACACTGTTATCACAAAGAGTATCAGAACATAATATATTTTACATTATCGAATGATCAATGAGAGATATTCCTTCTAAATACACTACAAGTATAAAAGTTCTACTAGTTTAAGCCTTTAAACATAAACGTATAAACCCTGGTGAAATTATGCTCTTAGCTGAGCACAAAGAGACCTCATTTCTTTTCCTCTGGCCAATAAATAAGTATTTAATGTATATTTCTTTGAAAGCATGAGACACTATCTCTTCAGAGCTACAGAACTCCAGAACTAACTCAAGCCTTCACTAGCTGTTGGTTACACAAGTTGTCTCTCTTAAAAACTTTTCACTAATGTATTCCCATAAACTTTTATGTGCAGAGACTGACAAAAAAAGGGACAAACTGGAAGCAGTTTAGAGGAAGAAACAGTATCAGAAATCTTTTGTTTTACTCCAATAATTGTACGTTTTGTATTCTGTTTTATTTTATGTTAATGTCTATATTAAAATTTTAAAAATAAAACTACTTATAATTGAGAAAAATTAGTACTCTAAAATAACGTCAGTTTTAGTCTGTGGCTTTCTGTATCTCCTGGTATAATGCTGTGTAGCTTGAATGTACATGAATCCCAGTTTGACATTCAGTTGATCCATTTTAGTTTAGTGAATCTTAATGTTGTTTTCAGTAGATAATGACTAAGGTTTGACCTTTGTGTGTCACATATGTGTAAGAATGTTACCAAAGCAGTATATAAAAGCCTATGATACAAGTATCACATATGCTTAAATTCTCATTTCAGGAGCAATCCCTAATCAGTCCTGTATCTGTGCTGTAATGTGGTCAATGACAAAGAAAAGAAATGAATCTTTTTCACAGTGTATTAGACAAAGAAAATGCATACTTTTATGGCAAGTTGTGCAGTCTGGACCAGAAAATTCATGATCTCACTATTTTTCAGCATGAATACAATCAGTTATTGAACATAATTGTTCAAAAGAATGATGCAGTTATCTTTGAAAATATTTTAATTTCCTATAAGAAATACAATATTTAACACATAAAAAAAGCCTCTAACAGGAAGATGATATTTTGTATTTTATAAAGGCATTGGTTGGGAAAGACCAAGTAAAATAATTTTCAAATCAAGACTAAGCAAATATCTATTCTTTCATGCATGAAAAGAATCATTATCTGAACCAAATTTAAAAGTCAATGCAACCATCATTAAAATGAAAATTCTTGGCATTTCAGATAGTAAAGGCACTTTCAGGTTTTTGAAATGAAAAACATTATTTTGTGCTTGCATTACAATTATAGTCCCAAAGATGGGTTAATAAAATCTTACCAGTGCTGTTTCATGAGACTGTGGTTGTTTGAAATTAATGATTTCCAAAGCAAGTGTTTTCTTAACTTTGGCTAGGTCTGCTTCTCTTGCTGCTTGTAGTAAAGAATGACCTTTAAATTCATCTGCAAATAAAATATTGGTTAACAGAAAAGAGTTTAAAATTTATTTAAAAAGATTTAGCATGATTATATAAGTAGGAAAATTATTAACTTTACATATTTCTCTATTTCAGCAAAGGTAGTAATATGAAAATATAATAATGATAATGGAAATAATGAAGATATAGATTAATAAAACATTCTGAAATATGTATGCTCAAAATTAAGACTATTTCATACTCTGAGTTCATAAAGATTCACCTACATAGACACCACAACAAAGTTTTAAAAACTGGCAACCTAAACGTTCATCAAAAAGAAATCAGTTAAATAATTTGTGAATGCATACTACTATACTGGACGATTTTACAGTTCTCAAAAGAGGTAAATCTACACATACTGATATGAAAATATATATTGTTTTTTGATTATGTGTTTTTTGAGACAAGTTCTTGCTACAAGTTCAGGTTGGCTTTGAACTCACTATGTAGCCCAGGCTGGCCTTGAACTTGCAGCGATCTAGGATTACACTTGGCTCTGATATGAAAGAATATATTATTAAATGGAAATTCCAATAGCCAAAAAAAAAAGGACGGGCTGATCACATTATTTTTGTATTGTTACTACTTTTGCCACTATAGTCATCACAATTCAAAACAAGTAATGGTATAGAAAAAGATATTTAGAGAAATAGTCATCAGATTATTACGTGATTATGTCTTTACACAGAAGAGAGAAGAAATGAAATATAGGAGAACGATTAGAGTAAAAATTTTGAAACAATAATTAAAATTTTCATAAACAAATAAGATTTTTAAAAAATCTATACCTAAATTAGTTGCATAAATAAAAATACAGCATTATTATTCTTTCTCTTTTTGTAGTGTTAAGTACTAAACCTAGGGCATCATATAAGCTGGGCAAGTGCTGTACTACTGAACTACATCCTTAACCCTTCTGATTTTGAGCCATGGTCTTGCTAAGTTACACGGGCCACCCTCAAACTTGCAATCCTTTTGCCTTAGCCTCCAGAATAGCTGGGATTACAGCATACTTCATCATGTTCAGCAAGAATCCAATATTCTTATTATTAAAAAATATGCAGTCTTGTTCTTCTATTTCACAAATTCAGTTTGCATTTTCATAGACCCATGTAGTACCAAAAAGCTGAAAGTTGTTCTAAAAAGGTACAAATGATGTAGAACTTAAAATATTCTCTAACAATTTCAGACCCTCTCATGTTCAGACCTTTGTATCTGGATAGCATTGTATTCTTTCTCTTTTCCTTTCTGTTTGCTTTTTTTTTTTTTTTTTTGGTACCAGGGATTGAACTGGGGATCTTGCACTTGCAAGGCAGGCAGCAGAACCACTGAGCTAAATCTCCCGCCCTGTTTTCGCTTTTTTTTTAAAGGCTCCATCACATTCACCTTTCTTTTTTGGTACCGGAGATTTAACTTGGGACCTTGTGCTTTTGAGGCAAGTGGTGGAACCACTGAGCTAAATCCCCAGCCCACATTCGCCTTTCTCAAAAGGGAGAGACAAACACAGACACCATGCACATCTACCACCTTATTAGTGACTACACACTGTTTCAGGTCACAGGTTAAACAGTCTAGATAAGCCTCCCCATCCTGCCACATTATTAGGGTAGGATTCCTTCATCTGAGACCCATAGCACTTGCATTAGCTTTACCACATGTCTGTTACTACTGTCATATAGTAGTCGTCACCTAGAGTTGCCATGTGGCAGGTTCTCAGTAAGTATTTTTACATGAATGCTGAACATACAACAAGTTATGGCAAATATGAACCACTGTTATATAACCTCTTTATCTTGCTAACTTCCTCAAAATAGGACTTCAAAACTTCAAAAACAAGAATTCAAGGTCAAATGAGATGAAAGTATACAGGAAATACAAATAACAAAATTATGCATTTTATTTTAATGATAAAACTGAGGACAGATGAAGTGGGAGAATTAGAAATTGCCATATATAAGAAGAAGGCTTCTGAAAACTGCAAAGGAAGGTGACATATTCAGAAATGATATCAAGGAAAGGGCACAACTTTTCTGGAGTCACTGGTCTAGAGAAATTTAAACTGAATGTAAATCATACTGGCTTTTTCTCAAATGAAAAATTTCTATGAATATCAAAATGATAAAATCAGTTCTACCTTTTCAATTACTCCTTTATATTCAGAACAGGTGGCTCAGAAGAAAATTAGATGGATACATATATGAAAAACACAGACTTAAGGATTTAAGATATTAAGATATAATAATGCAATTAAGTAGTATGACATCATCTCATAACAATACAATATTCCTTATCTTTACGCTTTAGAAAAAGTTGCTACCCAAATTGATTTTAAAATTTAAAGTACTTTATTGAATACTTAAAATTTTAAATAAAATACAGAGAGTGAAAAATTTATCAACTACATTATATAGTCATCCTAAATTGCTAAATGCAAAGATAGATAAAAGTTTGTTTTTAAAGCTTCAGGGAGTTAAAAGTATAGAAAAAGATTTATAAAGACTTATAAAGTATCCAAAGATGCTTTTTCGAAATGCATTTTGAAACAAGAATGGAATTCAGACTATCTTATTCCTTTGGTTTCATAAAAAGAACAAATAAATAAGAAAGCACACAAAAAAAGTGTGTAATGATATGATTATAACTAATGGCATGATCAAAATGCTGTTTTCATTTGTTTCCTATATATAATTCTCTTTAAACAAATTCTATAATTGTGAATGCCTAGTATAAAGCAATGGACATGACAATGAAAACTGCAGTTAGAGAAGTCCAATTCAGTGAAGGTGTTTCTTCCAGGTAATTCCTAGGTACAATCTTGCTGAATAGGACAAAGGTTTTACTTTTTATTAATCTCCTACTGAGAAGATTGAGAACTAAGGAATTGCTCTCTTTATAAAATTACACAAATTTAGTTTAAGCTTTAATGTCTACACTAAAGGCAGACTAGTAAAATACAATGTAAAAAACATCTAATAATATTCGTAATTTGTAAAATGGTTGAAAGGGAGGAAAAAGGTCAAATTACATAGGGATAAAGCTGAACCAGTGCATAAATTGAAAAAAAGAAATTAGAAAACAGTAAAATAAGTTTTGTGCAGAGTCAAATTCAATCAGTAAACCTGCTGAGCACACAGTCTATGCAAAGAACTGTGCTAGACTGGGACTGAGCAGAGATGAGGGCCCACGCACAAACAGCATCACACACCTTTTTCTTAGGTAACAAGGAACTATACAGGTGTGGAGACAGAAAAAGAAGTCAAAGTCTTTCTCTCTAAGAATTCAAATTTTCCTAGAAGATAGAATGCACATAGAAAAATGAACTATATAATGCAAGATAACACACAGTAAGAGTCACCCGGGCGGAGGGGAATAAATGAACTTCTACAAGGATTCATTACAAAGACATCTTCCCAGGTACAACTTGGTTTATACTAATAGGTGTCACTCATTTGGATAACAAAATAAATTTAAATTTCCATGTAGGGTCAAAATCGTTAAGAATTCTATTTTAACATAAATCAGTTTAAAATTTGTTTAAATATAAATGATGTTGGCATCATTTTGACAATGCCTCTTCCTTAAGTTATAGCTTAAGAAAGATTTTCTTAGGCTGTTTCTGATTCTTAGAATACTAAATGTAAGAGCGAATACAGACCATGGGATAAATTAAAACTCAAGTAGATGGCATCTCAAGTAATTTAAATCAGAAATGTTCACATGCAGTGTTAAATACATTTCAGTGTTGATACAGAAATTCCATGTAGTATGATGCCCTGAATGGGAACGTAAAGCAGAAAAAGAACTTTGGGCAAAGACTAAGGAAATCCAAAAAGAGTATGACCTTTAGTTAATAATAATGTATCAAAATGGTTTCTTAATAGTGATAAATGTACCATACTAAAATATTAATAATACAGGACACTGAGTACAGATACATGAGATCCCAATATTATCTTCATAAATTTTCTGTATATCTAAAATAAAAATTTTATTTAGAAATATATTTATACATGTGTAGGGAATGTGTATCACATTATCCCCATCAAATCATAAATAGTATATCAAATATATATTAAATTTGGGCCCACTTCCACTTGGGCCATCCCATACACAATAAATGTTTAGGACTAAACTTTGCAGGGCTTGGAAAACAGTGCTCAATCATGTTTGATGTCATCTGCTATGATCAATGGCACAAGACTACAAGCTCTATGAGCTCAGTGATTTGTGTTTTGCTTTCTGTACTTCAGTATTGCTAGTGTCTGTTACATAGTAAGTATTCAATAAATGGCTGCTAATCCTTAGCCTCCTTAGCTTTTTAAAAAAAAGAAGACAACATATGAATTGGAGTTGGGCTTGAATAAACACAAAATATTTATACAGTGTGTGCATATAAGTTTCCTGGGGAATTTATGAAGAAAAGTGCATGATTAGAAATGAGGATCTGGGCCGGGGATTTAGCTGAGTGGTTCCACCACCTGCCTCGCAAGCCCAAAGTCCAAAAAAAAAAAAAAGAAATGAGGATCTGTAATCCCAGCACTTGGGAGGCTGAGGCAGGAGGATTACCATGAGTTCAAGGCCAACCTGAGCTACACAGTGAGTTCAAGACCAGCCTGAACTACAGAGCGAAACCCTGCCTCAAAAAACAAAACCCAAGGGAATGAGGATCATAAACTCAGCATATTTGTAAGATGGAATGATATTTAAGTTAGACAAAACACTAGCTTTAATAACTAAAAAGAAATGAGATATTCCAACTTATAACTAACAATATTGATTTTAGGCTATAAATACATACAAGTCAATCTCTCCCGGAGCTCAGGAGTTGGTGCCATATCCACAGCACTTTTGCCATGGCAGTTGACAAGTGTGGGGTCAGCACCGTGGCTAAGTAACAAGGAGCAGACTTCTACACGATTCTTGGAAGCAGCCTCATGGAGTGGAGTGAACTGCCAGAGATCCATAGCATTAACACAAGCTCCATGCTGAGTTGAGGAAAAGTTTCAGGTTAGTAACCACTTCATTGGATCAAATCAAACTCAGAAAACATTTATTTTATTGTAAATTTCAGTTATAAGTTTTTGAAATGATTTTTAAATTCCGATTTTAAAAACAGCTTAAATTGAATATTTAAAGTATTTTAAGCAATGGTAGTATTGGCTAAAAAACACATGAAGTAATGCCAAGTTTTTTTAAAAAAATAAATGATACTTCATATTTCTAATTTCTCTTACCTTTAGTAGCAGTTCTGTGACTTCATAATGTCCATATGAACATGCATTATGAAGAGGCACAAGTCCACTAAATGAAAAGAGGGCAAATTAAAATACTTCATTTTCAAACATTTTGTAGTTATTTATCCATGAAGTGTAAGAAACAAAAATCTACTAAATCCCAACAGAAGTATATTAAAT